CCCACGCGCGGAAGGAATGATTTATCATACTCGCCGTCGCGGACTCCCACGACGCGCGCGCACGCGTCGTCCATCGCCCCCGTCGTCATGACGCGCGCGACGCGCGTCGCGCTCCCGACGACGCGCCCGCGATGCGCCGTCGCGGCGCGCGGCGGCGCGCGCCGCGTCGTCGCCGTCCCCCGTCGCGACGTCGGCGCTCGACGCGCGGGGGCGAACGCGATCGTCATCGTCCGCCGCGCGTCGACGATTCGCGCGCGCGCCGCCGCGCCGCCGGGCGACGCGCCGAAGCTCGAGGCGACCGCGGGTGCGCGGCGAACGGCGACTCCCTCGCGCGCTCGACGACGCGTCGCGCGACGCCGCGTGGCGTCGTCGAGCGCGCGACGCGCGTCCTCCCCCGATCGTCCCGTCCTCCGCCTCGCGCAGATGCATCCGTTCGTCTCGGCGTCTCGGAGACGTCGGCACGCGACGACGACGGAGGGACGGACGGACGCGGGGTGACGATATCCTCACCGCTTGGGCTACGCCCTCGGGCGATGGGCTGACGCGACATTCCACAAGAGATTTCTGACCGCGCCGTCCTTCTTCCGCGTCGCGCCGCGGCGTCGCGCGGCGGCGTCGCCGTCGCCGTCGACGCGTCGAGTCGACGATTCGATCGAGTCGTCGTTCGTTCGGTTTGGTTTTCTTCCAGTCGCTCGTCGCGATCACTCCTCCGTCCACGCCGACTAATTGCCCATACGCGTCGTCGTCCGTCCGTCCGCCCCGCCAGCTCACTCCGAGGAAGACAAAGCCTACATGCGCCGCGCGCTCGAGCTCGCGGCGACGGCGACCGGGCAGACGCATCCGAACCCGCTCGTGGGCTGCGTCGTCGTGAATGACGACGGCGACGTCGTCGGCGAGGGCTACCACCCGAAGGCGGGCGAGCCGCACGCGGAGGTGCGCCGACGTGGACAGATATCGACCACGATTCATGCCACGTCACCGAATATCTAACGCAAATATCCGCCACGTCACCCTATCCGACCAATCAGGTGTTCGCGTTGCGCGCGGCTGGCGACGCCGCGCGCGGCGCCACCGCGTACGTCTCCCTCGAGCCGTGCGACCACTTCGGTCGGACGCCGCCGTGCTCGAGAGCGCTCGTGGACGCGGGCGTGCGCCGCGTCGTCGTCGGGTTCGTGGACCCGGACCCGCGCGTGAGCGGCGGGGGGATACGGACGCTGTTGGACGCGGGGATAGAGGTGACGGTGGGGTGCGAGGAGGCGGCGTGCCGGGAGATCAACGCCGACTTCATCGCGAGGAACACGAAGAAGCGGCGATAGACTAGTGAGCATGATAACCGCTCGTCGGGAGCCGTTACGTGTTATGTATTATGGCATGAGAAGAGTGCGTATTATATTCTACTGTAACGAGAGGGCGTGGTTTATGAGACCCGCCGCCTCGCCGCTTCTTATTAACGACGCGGCGTCATCACCGCCGCCCGCACTGGAGCAGCGACCCCGCGCCGAGGAAGAGCCCGAAGAGGGCCGCGCTCCCGAGGGTCGTCCGCCCCACGTGGCGGATCTTGTACGCGAACCCGGGGATCTGATCGATCGAGGCGCGCGGGAAGAGACGGATGAGACGCGTCGGCGGTCGGCGACGGAGGAGGAGGAGGAGGAGGAGGAGGAGGAGGAGAGAGGAGACGACGCGTCGAGCGCGAGAGACGACGATCGGATCTGGCGTGAACGATGGGGCGATCGCCGCGACGCGGGGGTCGGGGGGACGCACGTAATTCACAGCCTCCCACGAGCCGTACGCCGAGCCGACGGCGGCGCCGACGGCGGCGCCGAGCCCCGCGCCGGAGATCACCCGGTTCGCGCACCTCTCGTCGAGCATCGACGTCGGTCCGCGCGGTTGGGGAATGATGAATGCGACGACGGCGACGACGCGTTTACAAATTCGCCCGCGCGACGACGAGATCTCAGAGAATCGCCCGCCGCGCCCCGCGTCGACGTCAAACGCCGCGGCACGTCGCCACGCCGCGGTCGCGACCCCCGATCGCGCCCATGAAACGCTCGCACCCCGACGGCTCGGAGAACGACTCCGCGGTCACGGCGACGCGCGCGCTCGCGCGCGACGCGCACGTCGCGCGCGTCGCGCCGTCGCCCGGTGGATCCTCGGTCGTCCGCCGCGCCGCCGCGGAGCTCGCGATCGACACCGAGGACGAGCTCAGCGACGAGGAGCTGCGCGACGAGGACGTCGCCGCGCTCGAGGAGGAGGAGGAGGAGGAGGAGGACGCGAAGGACGACGCGCGCCGCGGCGGTAACGGCGGCGCCGGCGGCGAGGCGTTCGCGGACGCCCCGGACACGGTCCCGCAGGAAGAGCTCATCCGGCGACGACTCGGTCGAATGAAGGAGCTGCACTCGCTGTACAACGCGCAGTACTGGCGCCTGCTCGAGGATCTTCGACGGCGGCACTACCGGTACACGCTTCGGAACGGGCACGGGGGGAAGAAGGAAGACGCGAGCGCGGAGGCGGCGGAGCGCGAGAGGGAGGGGCTCCCGAGCCAGTGCGATTCCGAAGGATGCGACCGAAAGCCGCTGCCGCTGTCGCGGCACTGCTTGGATCACATCCTGTTAGATCCCAAACAACAGCTGTACGTCAAGGGCGTGGACGGAGAGGAGGACTGCGGGCCGGTGCTGTGGACGGAGGACGAGAGCGGCGGAGAGGCGGGGGGGGTGGCGAAGGCGGAGGCGACGCCGGCGTGAACGCCGCGGAGGGGGGGGAGGGGGGTGGGACTCGAGCATCATAGCAAAGCTCTCAAAACGTACGAAGGTATCGTAGTAGTCTGCCGGATGACGCGGACGCGCGCGCGCTGTGTAGGTCACGTCCATTCGAGGACACGACCGCTACCTACTCGTACGCCGGGCGAATCTCTCCGCCGCTGTCGCTCTTCGCGAGACCTGAGCTCTGCCTCAGCAGCGCCCCGCCCGGGCTCCCCCCGCCGCCACCGCCGACGCCGACGCCCGCGCCCATCTCGAGGAGGCTCTCTCGAGACGAGCGCTCCCCCACCATTCCCAATCCGCCGCCGCGCTTCTCCTTCCCGCCGCCGCCGCCCGGCGGCCCCATCCCCCCCGCCCTGACGTCCTTCGTGACGTGAAGCACGAACACCCCGCTCAGAATCGTCGCGAACCCGCACAGCTGCGACGTCACCTCCACCGCCGATTGCCTCTCGTAGTCTTTGAACATCACCGAAGACGCCAACAGCGTCAACGTCGTGAAACCGACGTAATACACCGGCGTGACGACCGCGGCGTTGAAGACGTCCAGGGCTTTGTTCAGGTAGTTCATCTGCGTCACGACGCACGCGGCCACGACGGCGACGCACGCCCACGTTTCCGCGTACGCGAACTGATTGCTCCCCGCCCACGTCAGTCGCAACGCGATGCCGAGCGCCTTCACGCCCATCACCGAGAGCGACCCCGCGAGCGAGCAGATCCCGATGGGGACGACGAGGACCTGCGAAGGACGCGATCGATTCGATTCGATGATCGGCGGGGGTGGCGGGCGACGTGGTCAGACTCGAATCGGATTTGATGACGTGGCATATCGTGCGGCCGCGAGCGAAGCGCGCGAAGAGACGCGGCGTCGACGTCGCGCGCGCGCGTGCCTTCTCCCCGACGCGAGGGTACACGCTCGTGATGAGGTACGACGTCAGGCACGTCGCGAACGCGGCGTACGTCGCGAACGTCGGCGCCGACGCCATCTCCCACAGCTGACGCACGTCGCGTATCGGCCGATCCTCCGGCGCGTGCATGACCACGGACAGCGACCCCACGACGCACAGGAAGCACCCGAGCCATCCGAATCCGTTGAGGCGCTCGCGGAGGATGTGGTGCGAGAGCACCGCGGCGACGATGATGGAGAGCGCGCCGAGAGGCGTGACGATGACCGCGGGCGCGTACGCGTACGCCGCGAAGTTGGCGACCTCGCCGACTATCATGGTGATCATCCCACCCCACCACAGCGGCTCGCGGAGGTAGCCGAACCCGCCGCTGCCCGCGCGGAGTCCCCCGCGCGCGCTCGCGAGCTTCAGGCCCTTCTTCTTGACGATGAAGCTGCTGCCGATGGCGAGCGAGGAGGACATCGCGAGCGCGATGCCGAAGGTGAGGTCGGACGACGGCGACGTCGACGCGGGGCGCGTCGCCATCGCGGCCGGCCGGGGGGACGACGCGGCGCCCGGGGCGCGCGCGTGGAGGAAATGATGATGCGATCGACGATGTCGAACGCGTTCTGGTCGCGTCGCGCTCACGTTTATCCGGCCACGTCACTCGTCGCCGCGCGCGCGAGCGATGACGACGTCCACGGCGTCCTCGCGATGCGTCGCGCCGCGCGCGCGCGCGCCCGCGCCGCGCGCGTCGCGCGCCGCCGCGCGGCTCGCTCGACGCGGCCCTCCTCCTCCTCGCGTCGTCGCCGTCTTCGCCGTCGCGACGACGACGACCGGATCCCAGGCGCCCTCGGACGACGACAGTCCGTCGAGATCCTCGTCGACGCGGAGGACGAGATCCTCGTCCGCCGCCTCGCGCGCGCCGCGCGTCGTCGTCCTCGGCGGCGGCTTCGGCGGACTCTACACCGCGCTCAAGCTCGACGCGCTCTCCTGGGACGCCACGGTCGGGGGCCCGCCCAGACCGCGCGTGACGCTCGTCGACCGCGCGGACGACTTCGTCTTCAAGCCCATGCTCTACGAGCTCGTCAACGAGACGATGCGGCCGTGGGAGGTGGCGCCGTCGTTCGCGGAGCTCCTCGCGCCGACCGCCGTGCGCCTCGTGAAGGGCGTCGCGGTCGACGTGCGCGAAGACGACGACGCGGAGGGCGAGGGCGAGGGCGGCGCCGGCGTCGTGACGCTGATGGACGGGACGACGGTGCCGTACGATTACCTCGTCTGCGCGGTGGGCGCGAACGCGTCCGACGCGGGGGTCGCAGGCGCGAAGGACTTCGCGATCCCGCTGAACGACGCGAAGGACGCGTCGAGGCTCGCGGGGGCGCTGCGGGATATCGAGCGCGCGGCGGATAAGACGGAGGATGAGGCTCGCCGCCGCGTCGCCGTCGTCGGCGGCGGCCTCGCCGGCGTCGAGCTCGCGGGCGTCGTCGCCGAGCGAACGCGAGGCGTCGCCACCGTCGAGCTCTTCACGCCGAGCGGCGGGATCATGCGAGGCGCGCCGAGCGGCCAGCGGGCCGCCGCGACGCGCGTGCTCAGGGACGCGGGGGTGGTGATGCGGGAGGGCGCGCGCGTCGTGGCGGTGGAGGCGTGCGCGGACGTCGAGAGAGTGCGCGCGTGCGGGGAGGCGGCGACGGTCACCGTGGAGACGAGCGACGGCGCGACGACGACGGTCACCGTGGAGACGAGCGACGGCGCGACGACGACGGAGGACTTCGACGTCGTCGCGTGGACGGTGGGGCAGCGTGCGGTAACGCCCGAGTCGTGGCCGTTTCCGAGGGATTCGAAAGGGCGGATCGTCACGGAGGACACGCTGCGCGTCGTCGGGCGTTCGAACGTGTTCGCGCTCGGAGACGCCGCGGTGGTCGCGTCGTCGTCGTCTTCGAATCCGAACGATTCGAATCCGAACGACGCCGACTTCGCGTCGCCGCCGCCGTCGGAGGCGCTCCCGAGCACCGCGCAGGTCGCGTTCCAGCAGGCGGACTACGCCGCGTGGAACGTCTGGTCCGCGATGTCGTCGCGGCCGCTGCTGCCGTTCAAGTACCAGCACCTGGGGGACATGATGACGCTGGGCAAGACGGACGCCGCCGTCGCGTTGCCGTTAAACCTCGCCGTGGTGGACGGCCCCGCGGCGGCGGCGCTGCGGCGCGCGGCGTACCTGTACCGCATGCCGACGAACGAGCACCGAGCGAAGCTCGCGGCGGAGTGGATCGAGCAGGGCGCGAGGGCGGCGTTGGAGGAGGGGCCGGAGGTTCTGAGGAAGCTCGGCGTGCCGCTGCCGCCGGGGTTGTTCCCGCCGCCGCCGTCGAGAGAGTAACCTTACGTAGTTCATTTTTTGTCGATCGATTCGACCGCGACTCGCCGCATCCTTTCGCGACTCTACCCGACTCGCTTCTCTAAATTCTACTACGTGACAGACTATGAATCACAACTAGAGGCGGCTTCGCAGCCGAAGCGCCCACGCCACGGACGCGTTCTTCCTCGCGTAGTCCCCGCACGTCCCTATCCCCGCGACTAAGTCGTCGTACGCCCTCAGCCGCGCCGCGCGATCGCCTCCGCCGGCGCTGAGGGTCGTTCCGTACGAAGCGACGTCGGGGTGGCGTTCAAAGGCGTCAGAAGCGGAGTTGAAAGGCGTCGAGGTGTGTTGGGATTGAAAGCGAGGGGCGGGCGGAGAGAATCGCCGGGAAAAGTCCTTAAGGATCGACGTGCACCACGCCGACGCGGTCGTACGGGGACCAGTGCGAGATGGAACGCGCCTCAGCAGCGCGCGCTCCGCCTCCGCGCGCAACGGCTCGACGTGCTCGTGGTCCACGATGGACAGAAGGTTAAACACGAGCCGTCGCAGCGTCGCCGCCGCGTCTGACGTGGCGTCCGACGTGGCAGCGTCGAGCTCCGCCGCGCGCGCCGCGCATCGACGCGCGGCGAACGTCGGGAGGGACGACCCGGGGAGACACCCGCGCGTCGCCGCGCCGACGGCGGCGATGAAGTGCGTCGTCGGCGTCGCCGCGGGGGCGCGCGGTGACGTGGCGTCCGACATGGCAGTCGACGTGGCGCCCTCGTACGGCATCGCCTCCAACGCCGTCGTCAGGTACGTCGGGAAGTGCGCCTCCGCGGCGCGCGGCGAGCGCTTGAACGCGGACGCGAACGCGACGTGGGAAGATCGCGTCACCGTCGCGCGCGGATGCCTCAGGCACCGCGTCATGCACGCCGCGACCGCGATCGGTAACTCGCCCCCGGTAACGCCCTCGCGTTGACCGTTTCCGTTATTTCCGTTATTTCCATTATTTATCGCGCCGCCGCCGCCGCCGACGCCCCCGGGGAGTCGCGCGTACGGCACGAGTCGAAGGAGCAAGTGCGTGCGCGTGGACAGCACCGGGTCGTCGCGCCACGCGACGCCGCCGCCGCCCGCGCCGCGCCGCGCGTCGAGCTCGGCGCGCGCGTCCGGCCACATCCGCGTGGACATGAACCGCCGCGACGCTTCACATCCCACGCCCAGCGCATCGTCCCCCCCGAGCGACGACGCGACGACGCGCAGGACGTCCGCGTACGCGGGGTTCGGCGACCGCGCGAACTCGAGGTGCGCGAGCGCGTCGACGACGTTCGCGAGCGTCTCGGCGAGCGCGGCGCCGTCCGCCGCCGCGTCGGTTGACGTTCCATCTTCCGCGCTCGTCGCGATCGCGCGCTCGACATCCTTCGAGACCTCGTGCGCGCACGCGAGCGTCGCCGCGAACGGCCGAGACAGCGCGGGCGCGACGGCCGACCCGTCGAGGCCGTCGCGCCATCGCGCGGGGACCGCCTCGCGAAACGCGCGGTACGCCGCGTGATGCCGCCGCGCGAAGACCGCGCAGCGTTCCGTCATCGCGCGCGCGCACGACGCGCGACGCGTTTCGTCGCCCGGGATCTCGCGGACGCGCGACGCCGCGATCGCGACGAGCGCGGGCGCGCGGCGGACGACGCGCGACGCGCACGCGGTCGCGACGCGGTGGGAGACGGTCGAGGGATCTTCGCGCGTCGCGTCGCATCGATGCAGCGCGTCCGCGGCGCGCGACAGCTCGAGGTGCGTCCCGGCGACGACCGCGAAGAGGACGTCGGGCGCGGGCGATGTCGCGCGCTCGGCGAGCGCGCGCGCGAGCGACAGCGTCGCGTCGGCCGTGGCGTCGAGCGCGCCGTCCGACGACGACGACGACGACGACGACGACGACGCGCGCGTCGTCGTCTCGCGCAGCCGCGCGGAGGCGTCGTCGCACGCGCGGCGCGCGTCGTCGCACGTCGCGCGCGCCGCCGCCGCGGTCGGGGCGAGGGCATCGCGCGCGGCGGCGAAGACGCGCGCGGCGTCCTCGAGGACGTCCATCCTCGTCCCGCGGGGGAGGCGCGCGCGCGCGAGTGCGCGAGGGCGTGGGGCGCCCTCGACAATTAACGTCACGTCTTCAAAACTTACAACAGAACGAACGCCATCGCCACAAACAGAAAGCAAAAGTCATCATCCGTCGCTCGCGTCGACTCACGCCACGAGCTTCATCCTCGCGCGCACGATGTCCTTCACTCGGAAGAACACGAGCGAATCGACCCTCTCGATCGGCGTGAACAGCGCGCTCGCGGCGCGCCAGTACTGCCGCTCGCTCGGCCACGACGGCGGCGGTTCCGCGGCGGTCGCGGCGGCGGCCGCGCCGGCGGCGATCGAAGCAGCCGCCGCGTCTTCCAATTCCAACAGCCTCCGCCACGACGCGTCGTCCCAGTCGTGCCACGCGACGATCGAGTCGTCGCGCAGGAACGGTATGACGGCGTACGCGCACGCGTTACGGTACCGGCCGTCGATGAGCACGACGTCGAAGGCGTCCACGCCGAACGTCCCGGGCGCTTGCACGTACGGACGCATGTCGTCCTCGAACGCGTCGTCGTCGGCGGCGGCGGGGTAGCCCCACTTGGCGAGCTTCGACGTCGGGGTGGAGTCGGAACGAACGAAAGCAGCGAGGGGTGGGCGGAGAGACGCGTCAGCCAAAGCCCTCAAGGAACGGAACGCCACAACGCGAACGCGGTCGTATGGGGACTAGTGTGTAGAACGATCGTACGGGGACCGGCGCGAACCTTCGTCCGCGGCGCGTGGCACAGCAGACGCCACCGCCGCGACCGTCGCATGCATCGCAACTCCGGCCATCCGCGGACGATTTCGCACCACTCCTCCGCGTGCTCGACGCTGTGCGCGCGCGAGGACTGGACGCCGAAGACGCTCGTGGATCCGCCGACGCCCCACTCGAGGTACACGGGCCCGTCGCCGTCGTTCCAGCGGTTTATTCGCTCTCGCGTCGCGTTGCGATGACTTTCGGACGTGACTACTGTCGTGGGCGTCGTCGCCGCCGCTTCCGCGCCGACGACGTGCTCGCCTCGGACGTATCGCGTCATCGCGCGCACCTCCGCCGCGGTCATGCTCGGCGAGTGCGTGTCCGGGAACCGCGCGTCGTCGTCGCACCGCGGGCCGAGCCGCGGCGGCGACGCGCGCGACGTCCGAGACGTCGCGTCGAAGAAAAAGTCGCGAGAGCTCGCGCTGAGACGTCGCAGACCGCGCGGCCACTCGTCGTTCAGGAGGATAGAGAGCGCGCCACGCGCGACGTGCACGGCGGCGAACGCGACCGCGACGGCGACGAGCACGACGCTGAGTCTCGGCGGCTTCGTCTTGAACGGCAGGAGCGCGACGCCGCGCGTCGGGGAGGAGAACATCGTCGCGGGCGCGTCGGGGCGACGGCGGAAGTGATGACATCGCGAATACGAACCGTCTCGGAAGAAGAGATTTTTCTTCGCTTCCGTTGCGCGGAGCAGTGCTGAAACGACGACGCGCGATGCGTCACAACGGGTTCGCGCGGGGCCATGCCCCTCGCGCGCGCGCGCGCGTCCGCGTCGTCCGCGGACGCCTCGAAGAAGCGCTACGGCTACGACGTCAAGGCGCTCGCGTCGCTCGTCGCCGCCGCCGCCCCGGGCGTCACGCGCGTCGCCCCGGACGTGAGCACGGTGGATCACGCCGCGCGGCTGCGGAAGCGCTACTCGGACGCGGAGGTGGGCATCCCGAAGACGTGCACGCGCATCGCGTGGGACGACGGCGCGTCGTCGTCGTCCTCCTCCTCCTCGTCGTCATCCGACGACGGCGACGGCGAGCCGTCCACGCCGACGACGCGGAAGACGCGCGCGGCGGCGCGCGGGGGGTTCGCGCGCGTCAGTCTCAGCGCGAAGCGCGGCGCGCTGACCAGCCTCGGCGCGCTCGCGCGCGCCGCGCATCTGAACGGTTGGAAGCTCGTGACGCACGGCGACGACTCCGCGTGCCAGCTGTACTGGTGCTGCCGCGCGCGCGACCTCGCGGAGCTCACGGAGTACATGACGAGCGCGCACGAGCAGCGCGTCGCGAAGCGCGCGGCGATCTGGAAGAGGGCGCTGACGCGCGCGGCGGGGATGGGAAACGGACGATCGAACGCGACAGGCGCGTTCTATACACTGGTTCCCGTACGACCCCGTTCGCGTGGTGAACGCCGATCCTTAAGGACTTTTGCCGTCGTGTCTCTCCGCCCATCCCTCGCTTTCAATCCCCGACCACGACGCCTTTCAACTCCATCTGACGCCTTTGAACTCCACCCCGACATCGCTTTGTATGGAACGACCCTCAGCGCTGCGCGCGCTTCGTGGAGAAGCCGCGGACATGCGATACATCCGCGACGAGATCGCGAGAGCGCGCGCGTCGATCGAGGGCGGCGCGCACGACGGCGACGACGTGACGATCGCGTCGTTGCCGCCGCCGCCGTCGCCGAGCGACGTCCCGCTGGAGGATCCGACGCGCCCGTGCCCTCGGCGGTTGCGACTGCGCGTCGCGAAATTTCCGGGGATGAATCAGATTTGCGACAAGGTGCGATTCGCGCGGCTGATGAACCAGGCCGCGAAGCTCTTCCCGGACGCGTTCGAGTTTTGGCCCACCACGGTGATCCTCCCGGACGACGTCGCGCACGTCGGGGAGGCGATGGGCGGCGAGCCCGCGGGGCGACGAAGGGAGATTTTGTTGCAAGCCGCCGCCGCCGCGCGAGCGCGAGCCGCCGGCGGCGACGGCGACGACGGCGAAGTCGGCGGCGTTCGCGGGATAACCGCGGGGCTCGCGCCGCTCCACGTCGGGGGAGGCGGCGGGAACGGGAGCGAAACGCGCGCGACGCCCGCGGCGTCGATACCTTCCGCGAGCGGCGTCGTTTCGTCATCCGCCGCCGTCGCCGCCGCCGCGCGACCGCCGGGACCGCCGCCGACTCAGGTGCGTTCTGTACACTGGTCCCCATACGACCGCGTTGGCGTGGTGAACGCCGATCCTTAAGGACTTTGCCCGGCGTGTCTCTGCGCCCACCCCTCGCTTTCAATCACCGCCCGCGACGCCTTTCAACTCCGCCTCTGACGCCTTTGAACTCCACCCCGACATTCGCTTGTATAGAACGGCCCTCGGTGGCACATCGTCAAGCCCGACAACGGCAGCCAAGGCAAGGGCATCTTCCTCGTGAAGAACCTGTACGAGCTCGCGTTTAAGCTCAAGAGCAAGTGCCCGGAGGTGTGGTTCGGGTACAACTTCAACGACGGCACGACGGAAGGTCGCCGCGGCGCCGGAAAGAAAAAAAACGCCTCGCCGATGAAAGTAAAACGCATCCACGCGGAAGTCGAACCGCCGCCGCCGCCGACGGACGGCCCTCTCGCGCCCACCGGAAAACTCAACAACCGCGCCGGCACGTTCACGATGTCCGGACTTGCGAACGTCCCGGACGCGTCCAAGCGCGACGCGGACGCCGCCGCGGGCGGATTCGTCGTGCAGAGATACGTGACCAACCCGCTGCTCATCGGGGGCGTGAAGGCGCGTTCTATACACTGGTCCCCATACGACTGCGTTCGCGTGGTGAACGCCGATCCTTAAGGACTTTCGCCGTCGTCTCTCTACGCCCACCCCTCGATTTCAATACCCGCCCTCGGCGCCTTTCAACTCCAACTGACGCCTTTGAACTCCACCCCAACGTTCGCTTGTATGGAACGACCCTCAGTTTGACCTGCGTCTGTACGTGCTCCTCCTCGGCGCGGACGACTTCCCCGCGTTTCTGTCCAAAGAGGGCCTCGCGCGGTTCTGCACGGTCAAGTACGCGCCGCCATCGTCGAAAACGCTCGCGGAGGTGCGAGGCTATCTCACGAACTACGCGCTGAATAAGGGCGCCGACGAGTTCGTGCGAAGCGACGACGTGCACGCGTCCGAGGGGTCGAAGCGAAGCCTCGCGAGTCTGATGACGGAGCTCGCGCGAAAAGGGCACGACGTCGACGCGCTGTGGACGCGGCTCGAACGCCTCGTCGATCGCACGATCGGCGCGATGCGTCACGCGGTTCGAGACGCCGCGGTGGCGAACCGCGCGCATCCGGAGATGTGCTTTCAAGGTGCGTTCTGTACACTGGTCCCCATACGACCGCGTTCGCGTGGTGAACGCCGTTTCTTAAGGACTTTTCCCGGCGTTTCTCTCCGCCCACCCGTCGCTTTCAATCCCCGCCCTCGACGCCTTTCAACTCCAACTGACGCCTTTCAACTCCACCCCGATGTTCGCTCGTATGAAATGGCCCTTTCAAGTCCTCGGGTTCGACGTCATGCTGGATGAAAATCTGAAGCCGTATCTGCTGGAGGTGAACTCGTCGCCGTCGCTCGCGATCGACTCGGTGGAGGCGTTTCAGTCGCATAAGACGTTCACGACGGCCGCCGGGGCCGAAGGTAGTAACGACCGCAGGACGGACGTTCTCGAGCGATGCGCGTCGCTCGACGCGCCGTACGCGCGTTGCCTTTGCGCAAACCACAAGGGCGAGCACGCGCACGGTGCGTTCTATCTCACACTGGTTCCCATACGACCGCGTCGGCGTGGTGAACGCCGATCCTTAAGGACTTTGCCCGGCGTGTCTCTCCGCCCACCCCTCGCTTTCAATCCCCGCCCTCGATGCCTTTCAACTCCGCTTCTGACGCCTTTGAACTCCACCCCGACAATCCCAGTGTTATCCCCCGTGGACGCGCACGTCAAGAGCGCGGTGCTCGCGGGCGCGTTGGATATCGTCCGGCGCGCGCAGCGCGGGCAGCCGGTGGCGGCGAATGCGCGCGGCGAATCAGAAGGCGCGCCCTTCCGCTCGTCCTCGCCCGTCGCGAAGCACGGCGGCTATCGCGCCGCGCGCGCGGGGAGAGGCGGCGGCGCGGGGTGGTGGATCGACCGAGACGAGGAGGAGAAGCCGCCGAGGTTGAGAGAAGAACGACGGCGGAGGCGCGTCGCGGGGTGGACGAGCGACGAGGAGGAGGAGGAGGAGGATTCGTCCGCGGAGGGCGGCGGCGGCGAGGCGGGGAAGGAGGAGGCCGACGCCGCGGCGAAGGAACACGCCGAAGGCGAGGGAGAGGGAGAGGACGACGACGACGACGACGACGACGACGACGACGACGACGACGAAGAAGAAGAAGAAGAAGAAGAAGAGAGCGAGGAGGAGGAGGAGGAGGAAGACGCGATCGATTCGCCCGTGCCGGCGGTGCTGCCGCCCGCGCGCGCGGACGACCCGTCGGAGAAACTTTCGCGCCTCTACGCGCGCGTGGAGAAGCTCTTCGTTCGCGTCGTCGATCGAAGCAAGACGTTCACGGAGCGCGAGGCGTCGTTCGCGCGCGTGCGACGCATGGTTTCCCTCGCGAGACTCAAGCTCACGAACGCGGACATGGACTTGATCCTTCTCCCGTGGAAGCAACGGCGCGGGCGCGCCGGGAGCGGGTTTAACCACTTTTTGGATCTCGTGATGACGCTCGCGGGCAAGGCGTTTCCGAACGCGGTCGACGGCGCGGACGCCGTGGGGTCGGTCCTCGAAGAGCTCGCCCGAGTCAGCCTGTGACGGAACGGAAGCGCGCGACTGTCGTCGCGTGTTGTAGCTAATGACGTGCTTTACTTTAAAGTACTGTACTCTAGTAGTGTTTTACGATAGACTAATAATGAAGTAGCACCCATCTCTCTCTCGTCGCGTCGCGTCGCGTCGCGTCTCGTCTCGTCGCGTCTCGTCTCGTCTCATCGACGTTTTTGGGTTTTGCACGCCTTCTCTTCTTTTTCCTTCGCTCGCCTCTCCCCCACGTCCGCGAAAAACGCGGCGAGGTCGCACCCCTCCTCCGGGTGCGCCTCGAACCACTCGTGCTTCAGCAGCTCCGACGCGGAGACGCGCTCTTTCGGCGACTTCTTCAGACACGACGCGATGGCGTCGCGGAACGCGTCGGAAAAATCGTGCCCTCCCCCGCGCGGCAGCGTCGGCGGCGGCTCCTCGACGATGTGATCAAGCAGATCCCAGAACCCCATCGGCTGCCGCGGCTTATGAGCCGCGTCCGCGCCGTCCCCTTCCCCGCCGCTCGCGCCCGAAGGCGCCTCTTCGTCCGCCGGCGGCGGGTAGGGAAACCGCCCGAGCGCGCACTCCACGATGGACAACGCGAACGACCACACGTCGGAATCGAACCCGTACGTCCCTCCGCTTATTCGCTCCGGGGACATGTACGTCACGGTCCCGACCCACGAGTTACACTTCGTGACCGAGTTGGCGAGCTGCCCGGAGACGCCGAAATCGCTGATCTTCACCTCCCCGGCGTCGTTCACGAGCACGTTAGACGGCTTCACGTCGCGGTGGATGACGCGCATGTCGCCGTGAAGGTAGGCCAGCCCGCGAAGCACGCACCGCGATACGGACGCGAGCTCCCTCTCCGGGATCTTCCCCAAGACCTTCGCGACGTCGCTCAGAGACCCCACGTTCATGTAATCCAACAATATCGAAACGCTGCCGTCGGAGAAGAACGCCCCGTGGTACGGCACGACGTGCGGATGCGCCGACTGATGCAACGTTCGAAGCTCCGCGATCAAGTTCTTGCGAACCTCCGCCTGCACGTTCATCTGCACCACCTTGACCGCGAGCTCCGCGCCCGTCCTCGCGTGCGTCGCGCGCTGCACGACGCCGCCGCTCCCTTTGCCGACGACGCCGTGCACGACGAGCTCGTCGAGGCTGACGACGACGTCGCCGGAGGGAGGCGCGCCGGGTTTAGACGGCGTCTCGCCGGAGGTCTCAGGGTCGAAGGTCCATACGATCGATAGTCGGGGTGGAGTTGAAAGGCGTCAGATGGAGTTGAAAGGCGTCGAGGTGTGTCGGGATTGAAAGCGGGGGTTGGGCGCAGAGACACGACGGCAAAAGTCCTTAAGGATCGGCGTTCACCACGCCGACGCCGGCGTATGGGGACCAGTGTATAGAACGCACCTCATGACGGCGGTCGTCGGGCGCGGCGTCGGCATCGGCGGCGTCGTCGGCGGCGTCGTCGTCGGCGGCGGCGGCGTCGGCGGCGTCGCGCGCGTTCGTCGACGGCTTCCGTGGCGTCGTCGCCCTCGTGGACGTGGGCGTCGTCGCGGCGGCATCGCGCGACGCGCCGGCGCGCTCGCCCGCCGCCGCGCCCGTGGGCGTGCCCGCGATCTGCAACCCTTGTCGCGAGATCGTCAGGTCGCCCTCGGTGAACGTCCCGGAGTTCGAGCTGCGCGGCGCGACGGTAGGGGAGGGAGAGAGGGAAGGGAAGGGAACGTC